TAAAGATTTTATTTATTTATTTGAGACAGAGAGAATGAGATACAGAGAGCATGAGAGGGAGGAGGGTCAGAGGGAGAAGCAGACTCCCTGCCAAGCAGGGAGCCCGATGCGGGACTCAATCCCAGGACTCCAGGATCATGACCTGAGCCGAAGGCAGTCGCTTAACCAACTGAGCCACCCAGGCGCCCTAGCTACTTTAATATTATATGACTTATGTCATATATGTCCTAGACATTTATGGCTTCCAAATATGATCTAATAACTTAACATCTAAATAGAAAGAAGTTGAAAGCTTTGGAAAAGACGAAAATGAGCTTGAGAATTACCATAATGGCCTCTTATTTGAAACCTGTACATACTGAAATAAGTAAAATTGGTATATAATTATACGTTTTAGGTGTGAGCCCATGAGAAAGAATAGGGAATCTGTATTTCTTTTTCATACAGAAAGTTAAAACCATCAAACAGCAAAACAAAGTTGTAGTTCATTGAACCTGTTATCATTCTTGAAGAAATATACTGGGCTCACCTATGAAAAAAGGTGACTTAAAGACTCAGACACAATAATGACTTCTGGAAAACTGACAAGAAATGAGAAAGTACCAATGAGCCACACACTTTATTTCTTGTGAGCCACGAACACATTAGTCATTTTCGAGAACTTATGCAAATAGGTTTTGTTCATGAGGATTTGAAAATTTAAATCTGAATGTGTGTGTGTGTGAGTGTGTGAATGTGTATTTGACTATTTGCATGTGAGTGTGTACAAATATGAACGGAAGGGCAGAAAGGACATACAAGGAAATTCACCCAAGATTATTTGCCCCTTACCTAAATGGATTTAAAAGCTATTGTCAACCACATCCTTACCAGCACAAAGAAAAACTGATTTGTAGTTGTATGTGAATAGGTCATTTAGCGTGAAGGCTGTATTTCAAAGTCTCCTATTTTACTTTATTCCCAATCCAGGTAAACTTTTCACACACACACACACACACACACACACACACACACACACGGCTTAATGCTATCAACTCTTAGCCAGGCACACACACACACACACACAATGCTTAATGCTATCAACTCTTAGCCAGGAAAGGTATGAGTCTAACAGAAAACATGTGAGCTCCATTTTCTGACTCTATCCAAAGTTTGAGCACTGGTCCGATCCATCCACAGTGTTGATGGGACTGTGTGGATATCTTTGATGGCTACTACTCATGAGCCTGTCCTCATTCTAAACTTTTGTATTTGGAAGGACATAAAAAAGTAATTTCCATCAATGTTGAGCAAATGACATGCTTGGCTTCTCTGGTGGTCAAATGAATGTTAAACTTCAATGAAAGCTCTTCCCTAGGGTAATATTGAGGCTTCCTACTGTAAGGGGATAGTTTGGGGGTATAAACAAGGGATTAGCACTGGTTTCACCACCACATTTTTCTATGCAACAATAACCAGCTTCATTTAAAATTGTTTTGCTATGCAAGAATTTATGTTCCTCGTAGAAAAATTAGAACATACAGAATGTGAAAAGAACATAATTAAAAGCTTCCATAGACTTCTACCAATTTTAGTAGGATATTCTTCCCTTTTACCTAAGCAAAATATGTATCTATATGTATATGCATAGCCTTTAAAAATATCATAGCTAACATAAAACTTAAATGAAAAATCCCCTGGGTAGCTAAACCACTCTGGGTTTTACAGTAACATAAGCTGAAGGGTGCAGCCGAGAGTCCCCATGGGTCCTCTGAATTGCAAGGGCAAGCCCATGATATAGAGTAGGATATGGTGATATTTATCAACAACAATGTCTATACTTTCATAGATCCCAGCAATAAACATAATACTTGTCACATATTTAATGGGTTAAACTTGTATTATAATATATTGATACAATACTTCTATACAAGCCTTGCTTCAGAGTGTAACTGCACTTCAGCATCGAATAGCAGGCTAATAAAAACTGTAGCAAGAAACAGTTTTACAACCCTCCATTGACTTGTGTTTTACATTATGTTATTTCAATGCAAACATCTGAATTAAAGGTTAACAAACACTATTTAATGGTGTCTGAATGAATGAATGTACAGTGCATGAATACATGCCTCTTGGAATTTTTTTATAGGTTTTGATACTGCACATGCTTTGTAATTTGGGTTAAGACATGACTGTAAGTGGGTGATGGCTCTTGACTAACTCTTTTAAGTAATATGAAATAGCACATTTTGTTAGGCTTCCTCCAACTAAGTGCACATCCACCATTAAAGCAATCTGTCATTATTTTAACAATGTCATTAACATCTACAATATAATTCACAGGGGCTTTGTTCTTCTTTCAAAATTAGTAGCACATACATTTATATAGAAAGCTTGAAATACAAAAATAAATTTAAGCAGCTTTCAACTCTAAGCTACACAAATATTTTTAAATGGGTTACATAAAAAGTATGACTTTACTAAGAAAGAAAAGCCCACAGAAATTACATATCCATTAAAATGAATTAATAATATAAAATATAAATTACTTTTCTTTCTAATATAACAAATCAAGAAATATGGTTTAGTGTACTACTAAACATACTTGGCCTAATGAAAATAATTTAAATTACTGGGCTACTGAAAGTAAAAATCAATATTTAAAATTTATGATTTTTATATATAAATGATTATTATCAGTCTTTAGAAATATTTTAGAAAAATTTTAATGCATAAAAATAATATATTAAGTACCTAATTAAAAAGATAAAATTGTATTAGCACATTTGGATGGTAATATTCAACTTTAAATTGCTAAAATACATCTTATTTACTACTGTGGCTTCAGTAAATAGAGTAAGATTCAGTTAAAAATAAATACAAGGAGAAAGTTGAAATTTACAAAATAGAATAGAGGTTCTGTTCCAAGAAGAGTATATTTTTCTATATTCAGAATATATATAGAGGAATATATATATTCTGTATATTTGTATATGTACATAAGTACATACTATTACATAAATATGAATTATAAACTGATAGGTATTTATTTACTGTTATCTAAAGTTGTCAATATGTATAAAAGCTCTCTTCATTTAACAAAATTTTCATCACTGATAGTGAGGTTACAAACAAAATGTCAAATGAAACTTAACTAGAAGCATAGAAACATTATAATTATTTTATAGATCATAGAAATCTCTGGACTTGACTTGCTCTCTCTTGCAATGGCTCTTAGAATAATCTACTACACATTTAGATAGTTGGAGTTGTCTTTTCTCCCTTAATAAAAATTCTTTAAAGATTAATAGTCTGTCTTTCCATTATTCTCAGACTTTTAGCCCAGCACCTTGCACATTACAAATACTAAATTAATAAATGTCCTGTAATTATCTCAAATATAACATGTGCAAAAATAATGCACTTCCTCAACCTCAATAGTTCTTCCTTCTCAAGATTCCTCATCTCAGTAAAGCTTCCAACCATCTACCTTCCAAAGCAAAAAACCAGGGAGTCATCGATAGTTCTTGCTCTACAGTCTCAAATTCAGTCAAAATCCTATTTCAAATCCTAGTATTTCTCAAATCTGTCCTCTTTTTTTCTGTCCCCACTGCCCCATTTCTTGCTAAGCTTTCTTTTTCCTAGCATCCATCCTAGCAGCGTGGTTGCTCAATAGCTTTCTGATGTTAAAACTTGTGGTATAGGAGCACCTGGAGGGTTCAGTTGGTTAAGCGGTTGCTGGGTGATCCTGGAGTCCTAAGGATAAACCCCTGTCAGCTCCCTGCTCAGCAGGGAGTCTGCTTCTCCCTCTCCCTCTGCTCCTTCCCCCTCCCCCTTGTTCTCTCTCTCTCTCTCTTGCTCACTCTCTCTCAAATAAATAAATAAAATCTTTAAAAAAAAAAGTAGCTGTATATTTGAGTTCTATTTCCTGGGTCCAAAAACATAATACTCTGTGGTACTGAGGTAAGTTTGATTCAGTCCATTGCGAATTTGTGAGTACTTCCCAAATATGCTCCACAGAAACCATGCTGCAACCTCCTTCATCTCTCATTTCTTCTCAAAGTTTTGCCTTTCTCATAATTTTCCCCATCAGGATGACTCACCATTTGTTTGGGGTAGAACCAAAATTCTTAATGAAGTTTAAAGGAGAAACCCAAGACATTAAACATACACTATATTAGATAAGGCCAACAAGAATTTAAATTTGGAAATAAAATACTGCATAGACAGACAAGGATGATCCATTTTAGATTTAAACGATTATCAACAAAGATCAGATCTGTGCTTTTTCTTCAGTGGGAGTTTTTAAGACACAGTGATGAATTTCTGGAAAACCTTTTCTCCAAAAGGTTAGTGGTCCTCAACTCAAGTGAAGTCAATTATTTTACTTTGCCCTCTATAGAAAATCTTTTTCCCCTAAAATGACCACCTTAACAAACAAAAATACCATCACAATGGTGATTATTATAATGTACCAAACTGAGTTAATGGCTTCTGAGGCTCTTTCATGCTACATCCACATAATCAAAATGAGAAGTAAGTACATCTTGAATTGCCTCTTCTTGTGGAGAAAGATATAGTACATGGCAACAGAAATCTAACGATAAACAAATTCCCAATTTATTCATTCATCCAACACACATTTTCTAAGCCCTTACAGGTGCAAGCCAATGACCAGACCTGGCCTACTTGCTCACTCTTGATTCTCTATGCCCCATCAGGGTACAAAATCAGGTTTTCAAACAAGGATAAAGGCAATCAACATATGGCATACAGTGATCATTTTGACATTACACAAGATTCATGTGGAGATTCATGGATAACAAGATAGCTATAATGGCAATATCATGCTGTTTGGAATCAGAAGACCACAATCTAAACCATATGTTAGATTCACACCAGCTATTTTAACTTTTAAAGTCATCTAAACTCTCTGACCTTAAATTTTTTCATTGAGTAAGCACTAAGCATTTTACTGAACAAGCATTAGGTAAGATAAGAGGTAGGTATTTGATACCTACATGATGCTTTGCAGGACTGTTGCATTAGTCTTCACAACAGCTTATAAGGCAGACACTGTATAGATGGTGAATCAGAGTACCGGGAGGAGAGGGAGGCACCAAAGGTCAATAGTGAGGAAGCAGGAGAATCTGGATATAAACCAAAGTGGTTCGACTTTAGAGTTAACACACTTTACCACATAACATAATACCTTCTTCATTACATCATTACGAGGAATAAAAAAGATAAATAAAAAATACATCTTACAAAGCCTAACATACTATGTAAATTTAGTGAAAATTGCTTATTGCTATTATTAGTCTATTACTAATCTGTTAAAGTTCTAATGTATTTCAGAGATTGCTGCAAACTTGCCTGTATTAGCAAACCAGAGAAGTGGGAAAGTTCCTCTCGTTCCCTTCTTGGTTAAATGAAGAAAGAGTAGAAGGAAGAAAGGAAAATACTAACTATTCTCAGGCACTTTCACACAATATCTCAATGAACCCCAAAACAACACTCCCACTATATAGATAAGGAATCTGAGAGCCAGAGAAATAAGCAGGTTCTTTCTACCATATCACACTTTCTTATGAGATAGCAGATGAGGTATCTCCACTATATCTAAGGTAAAAACCCAGCTTAGTATGTCCACTATTTACTATAAATAAATGTTCAAAGAACATATACACATGCTTAACAAAGAAAATGTCCTTATCTGAGGTTAAATTATGGTTCTCCTCTTTATTTGTAGCTTCTAGGAAACAAAAGAAATGTGTGCCCCATTGGAATAATCAAATTAAAGTCTAAAACCTTTTTCAAATGGCTAGAGGAAAAATTATGATGAGCAGAATTCTTCTATAAATCTATTGGAAGGCCATATATGAAGGAGACCATATAACTGCATGAGACATTTTGCTGACTTAAGATCAGTAATTTTCTTACCTTCAGATTGAAGTTTATATGTAGAAATTAGCTCCATTCACAGTTTCTAAATTCCTTTCACTGAATTAAGAGCATGAGAAATTTAAATAGACATTTTTTCAGTTACAAAATATACATTTTTTTACTGTTACTTATACAGTTTTATTAGGTTGTTTTTGTTAATTCACTGATGTTGAATGCAAACCTGTGGGTTTAAAAAAATATCTTTTAATTGTACAAGCATTTATTCATTCATTTACTTAATCATTCAAAAATCATTTTTGGATATCTGATATGGACTGGTCCCTCAGACAGAGGTTTCAGAGAGGTAGAAGAACCTGACCCCTGCCTTCCAAAGCTCACTGTCTAGTCTTGGGAGTTGAGATGGGAGAAGAAAATAATCCAAGTAGTATCAACATCATATAATGAATATTTTCATAGGCGAAGGTACTGGTTGCTATGTGAGTACTTAATTGGGAACCTAACTTAGTCTAAGGAGTCAAGTAAACTTTCTAGATGCCGGAGCATAACATCTAAGGGCTCAAAAATGAATAGAGTAAGGCCAATAGGGGTGAGGGAAAATGATCTGGAGTAAGGTGGTACTCCAGAGAGAATAACCAAATTGCACATGGTCTGGTTTCCCCCAGTGGCCTTGACATATACCACTCATTAGGCCCTATCTCTTAAAGAATAATCTTTAACTTCAGGAAAAGTATTTTAGTAGAATTACCATCGTAAATATAGAAGCCATGCTTGAATAGCATCCTGAACTGTGGCTCTACAATATATGGTCTTAAACTGTGATTGAGCGTAACTGTCAATACTAAGTGATTTATTATCACCTTTAGATAATCAGGCATCATGTTCTATTAATTGGCATGCCAAGTACTTGATAGCACCAGATATTATGGTTAATGCAAATGATTATTTTTCCTGTGAGTTTAATTAAGGGTCTCCATATTGATGTAATTAAAACTGCAGTGGCATTTGAAATGCATCACCTAAATAAAGTACCATAAGATTTACTCTATTAAGATTTGTAAGTGATCTAAGTAATTGCAATTGGCATTATTTTATTCCACATATGTTATTTCTCTGAAGAAATCAGTCTCTGCTTATATGTATGGCTGTATTATCATCAAATATTTCATTATTTTCATGAACAAAATTGTTCACTAGTAGCACATCAACATCACATGTAGGAGCAAATGTTTGTTCAATATTTAAATTTAGGAGTTCTCATTGCCCATTATCTATTAAGAATTACAAGTTCCAGTTTAACGGAGAATTTCACATTAATGGCATGCTTTATAATGAGATTGTTACCCCTAGCCTCAAACACACTGATTAAACCCTTCAGTATATTCACCAAGTAGATATTTTTATCTACTGCCTTCACCTCTGGTACAGTGTAATTTTAAAAAAGCAAATTGAATTAGAGTATCATTTATTGTTAACTTTGTTCTATGCATATCCTCTGTGCTTATAACTCTGACATGCACAGGTAGTCCAACAAGGAGGAAGAAAACATTAGCCCTAACAAAGGAGTAATTTATATCAGCAATCCAAATCAGATTCTGCCTCCTTCCCACCCTAGAATACATGTACACATATGGAAAATTGTCAACTCAGTAAAGATAGGTAATCTCCATTCTATTTAGGAAACTGAGGCTTAAAATGGTTAAATAATGGTGGTGTACAATTTAAACCCAAACAAATGATCGAAAGTCTGCAATAATAACCTACACACTACTACTTCTCAGGTGTTAAAAAGAAAAGAGTTTCTCTAATGTGAGTTATTTGATTTTTTTAATGGGTAACAAAAATAAATACATGAAACATAGTAAGTCCCCAAAATACTATCTTGAGTCTCTTAAGTTCTGACCAGCTCCCACCCACATTTCCAGAGAGCAAAAGGAAAGGAAATCCACATAGTAACTTTGAAACATTGCATTTTACCTCTGCTTACTAAAACTCCAGCAGTAAAGAAATATTTGCAACATAATACTACGGAAATATAGTAAACTCATCATAAGGTCATTTTCCTGAAGAAGCAGTTTTTTCAAAGTAAATAGAGATGAAAGAACAGATGTATAATAAAACGAATCCACACACTTTCTTTGTTCCTATTCTGATCGCCCACACATTCTGCTGCAAGAATATGTAACTACTCCCTGTTCTGGTTACCTCTGAGCATATCACTAAACAAAATTATTATATCCAATGGCTATTTTTAATGTACAAAATGAATCCTTTATTCACAGAGAGCAGTTGAAGATTTTAGCCCTGAAATTGTAACTTTTTTTCTTGTACAATATCTATGACTACTCAAAAGCTCAATCACAGCTTCTAATGAACACTTCCAAATCTTTTTCACATCTATGAACTATGTTTATCTTCATGCCTCTGGGAAGTAATAAAGATTATTCCTACCTTACAAATAGGGAAACAGAGTCACAGGTCGATGTAACTTAGTTAAGTGAACAGACTTGCAGACAAGACAGTACCTTAAAAATCATTAACAGCCCTCTTCTCAAAACTGTCACTGAAATGGATACCCATATATAAAAATAGAGAGCCTATATCAGCACTGGATACTGCCCAAGGGAACATCACACATCAGCATTCCTGAGTGGTCTGCTACGGCAGACATTACTAGAATGAAGAAGAGTCAACTCAATCCATAATCACTATGAAGCATCTAAAAAGTAAGTAGATGGAATCCCAGCAGAAATTGATAAACACCTTCTAATTTGATTGGGTGAAGATAACTAGAGACCACTGTGAGCAGAGATCACATGACAAGGCTTTTTCTTCTACTGGGCCTATCCAAGAATGAAAGAACTGCCATCCTGGTTTCTGCAGAGAACAGCTACAGTGAGCTTAAAACATAGCCTCCAAATCATTTTGCAATTGTTCTGTTTAAATGATGACATATATTTTAACCCTTCATATTGATCTACTTTTCAAAACATCAGCATATTTTCATATGCCAAGAGATGTTTTTTGTTTTGTTTTTTTCTACTTGCTTGGGTGGGGGTGGAGGTGTCTCTATGTTAATACGTGGATATTGGGTAGACTTTGTCTGAAAAATGTGATTCTATGTTTAACTCTGCCTTTTAGGTCCAGATGAAGGGATAAGGAAAAAGTTAATAGTTAGCTATAGTTTTACTTTGTCAGGTCAGACATTCAATAACCTAAATGGGGAACACCCTAGAATTGAGCTTGAGTACTTCTCCCATTGCAGGTTGGGGGGTGTTGTTGTTACAGTTACCTTCTGCTAGATAAGGAATATAAAAGGCAGATAAAACAAACACACACACACAGACACACACACACCTCGAAGGAATAATAGGAATTTCTAAATTTAAGAGAAATAGAGAGCAAATAGAGGAGAAAATAAGCTAAGAGGAGGAAGAAGAAGAATTTTCTGAAGAAAGATATACCTGGGGATCGAAGGATGCCAAATATACAAAATACCAAGACCAAATACTTGAGATTTGTATGGGAGCAATCCCAAACGATCACAAGAAGACAGAAGTATCAGGTAATGAGAAATAAAAGTATCAGTTGGTTAATAAGGCTGACTTGAGAACCCAGCTTAAATCCTAGACCACAACAGCACTCCCACTGGGTTAATCTTGAGTCAGACAGATATACCCATACAGCCACTAGCATGGCCATGTAACCACAGGCCTCCAGCACAGGTGCTTGCACTTACCACAGGGGTCAGAGAACACCGGACACGTATCCTCAGTGCAGGCTGGGTGCACTGAAGAAGAGACAGAGAGAGGGAAATGTTCAGAAGGATCTGACCATCATTTGCCAAACTCACAAATCGAACAATTAACGCATTCCAGGAAATGCAGAAAATAGGAAGAACGCTTATTCAAGGGGACCAAGGGTGTTACCAAGGATCCCTCATGGACCCCTGAGGCGAGGAAATAACACTTCCTTCCCCTCTCACCCCCCACTTCGTACACATCCTAGGCAAAACAGATCGAAAAGATCTACTAGAACTACTGTCTTGGAATTACACAGTAGGGGGGAAATTCATACATCCATTCCAGCAGAAAAGAAAACAAACAGACAAAACACACATTATCTCTAAAAGGAAAAAATAATCAAGTTGTCCTCCGTTTTTTTTCTCTCTTCAACATGAACTTTCCAGGACAAAATGGAGCATTAGCTATAGAGTTCTGAGAAAAAAGTATGACTCTAAGC